GCGCTCGTCGACGGGGGTCTCTATTCGACAAAACGACAGGCACTGATTTTGCGAGTGTCGAAGTTATACTTGATCCGGACCGATCATTATTTACATCGATCGCACGAGCGACGATCGTTCACCGCGACAACGCTGTCCACGGTAAACTTTGGAGCACATATTTCCCTTCTCCACTCTCTCTCTCTCTCTCTCTCTCTTTCTCTCTCTTCACACCGTTATTATACATAAAATAAAATATATGTATATTGTGCATACACGAACGCACAGTTGACCGTCGCGTTAACGTGTCTACAGTGTGTCCAGTACAAAAGCGTAAGTAATGTGACGCCGCTGAAAAGGGGGACAAGTGTCCCACCCGCGTGGACACTTTCGGTTCATCGTGTAGCGTCGTTCCGAATAGGTTCGCAATTTTTTCTCTCTTCCATTTGAATGGCTGAACTACTACACGGTCGTTTCGTTCCTCGAATTGTGCGAACCACCATCACGCGTAAAAGGAACCGGCAGATTTCGCGGACAGATTAAGAATCCTTAACGATTATTGGAGGACAAATGGCAAAAGCGTTCGCCGCGTTTTGCACGCCAAAGCTGGTGGTACTCGTTATTGCCCATGTGGGACGGAAGTCACGGATGATTTGGCACTCCTTCTCTCGTTTTTCTAACCTCTAGCTTGCTCGCCCGCCCGCGCCGTTCTGTTTCTCTCCTAACCGTTCCTCTGCGTGCCATTTTTTATCTCGTGTCGTCGCGTCTTCTATTTTAATGCATACGTTTAATCGATACAACCCCCGGAAACCTTACAAAATTCTACGACACTACCCAGATAGCACATGACTCCTCGAAGATGCCAATTTTACGGCCTATTTTAGGTCTAAGGCGCCTTTAAGCCGTCTTTAAGGCGTCATGTGCTATATGGGTAAGAACTTGCCGTGCAACTAAGTTAAAAGAAGTTTCATAAAAAAGAAAAATAAACTCGTAGACGATACCAGGGGTTCTATAATACATGGAATCGTGTAACGAATTAGTGTGTGTACGTTTTCCTTTTTTATTGTAAATCGAGAACACGATCGATCGGAAGCGACAACGGCGTGTACGCACGCAGAGCAGAGATTGAAAAGAGAACAGAACGATAGACAACAAAAAGAAAAAATAAATGGAACATCCGTGCGACGAAAATTCGTTTTAGCCCTCGGTTAAACGCGGCTCGATCCGATCCTCCATTATTCACACGGCGCGCGCGCGCGCCCGAATAGTACAGTACGTTTACTTCATGTTTTCCTTTTTCTTTTTTTTTTTCGTTTTCCTTATGCACAACCCACATCAGTATTGTTACGCGTTACTTGTAAATTGCAAATGTAAATTGATTTTTTGTTTCTCTTGTCCACGCTTAAAATACATTTTATACATACTCCACTTGCACACACTCTCGCGTTATACGTGTCGTTCGCCATATAATATAATCGTCGTCGTATCAATAAATCGTCAAGCCAGTGGTCGTCATCGAAACAAGAAAAACACACGCAAGTGTATTTCGTTATTATGTATATTCGTGGTCACACGTCGTTATTAAATCATATATCCATCGACTACCATATACGCTCTCCAAACTCCTCAGCCATTCCTCTATCGCGGTCTCGATCAGAAAAAAAAAAAAAAACGAAACTCTCCGTCGCTTTATCTGCAAGTCTCTTTCGGTGTGTGTGTGTGTGTTTTTTTTTAACTTTGCTTGATACTTTCGCTTCGTATGCACTTAATAAAACCACGCAAGATTCTTATTACCCTTGTTTTTTAAATTCTCTTTCTCACTCTCTCGACGTAAAACAGAAGCACACGGAGAGACGGCCGGAAGTACGCGTGAAACAGAATCGTAGCAGGAAGCGGAGGAAGTTGTTTCGCGCAACAACAGCGTGTCCCGGTTCTCTGTGCACCTCGCGCCAATAACCAACGGAACGGGGACTGTTCGCCGCAGAAAATGGTCCCCACATTCCCCTCTCTCTTTCTTTTTCTGGTACACCGGATTCATTGTTCCTTTTAACCGCGGTACGCTTCGTCGACGACTCACGGAACGTCGTGCCAGGCACTATTCGATCCTCCTCGATCCACGAGAGATCACGCTTTTCTTTGTGCAGAAACATTCGGATATGGCGCGTGACCTTCTCCATTTTTGGGAACGTCCCCGAGGACTCTATTGAACGAACTCCTTTTTTTTCTTTGATATTACGACGAGTGCACGAATTGTATTGGTTCCTTTCATGCGTGCCATCAGTCTTTCACGGTAGCTGAAGACCCCGATCGGCCATTTTCACAGGAATACAAGCTTTCGTCGTGTGTACATTTTGGGACGATCCGTGAAAAGGAATTCCGTGTGATCAGAGTTGGGGCACGATTTTATTCGAATAACAGATTGTGAAATGCAACAGTATCAACAGAATTGTATCGATATTTGGCATCTATACGTATCGGGGATAAAATATTGTTATCGGTATCGATACTTGCAATTGAATTGGAAGTAAAAAAATGTAAAAATGAAAATATATCATTTATTTAAGCAGATATTTACTAAGGCAGACTTTCAGGTAACAGAGTGCAAGAGAAATTGGATTGCAAATTTTATGCAAATCGATATTTATGAGTTAAGTATCGATACTGGAATATATTATCACATTAAATATCGATATTTGAATTGAAAAGTATCGACATTCGAAATATCGGTACTGTATCGTTCATCGCATACGTGCAACAGCGAGCACGACACGCGGAGCGCGATTAAATCTCGTATACACTCGTGCAACGTGCAACCGAATATCCACTTGAGACCCTCGAAAAGGGTCGATATATATTTATATCGTAATATAATATAGGGTATATAATTTTCTTTCTTTTAACATAGTAATTAATGTACGGGATAGGCATGACAACAAATAGACATACCTTCCGATATTTTCTACGATACGCGTCAGAATGTTCGTGTTCGACTTAACGTTCCAGGAAGTCGTTCATTGCGCGTCGACCCATTAAAATCGACCCTTTCCAGAGTGTTCTGCAATGCGCGTTGCACGTGTGCAGCACTGCCTTAAGGGCGTCAGCCTGAGCTTTTGAACAATTAATGATACTAAATAATCGTTTGCCAAATGTCGACTCGCTCGAGGTATATTATAAAAATTAGAATTTCCACGTTAAAGAGATTAAAACTGACGAAGTACTTTTTTTTTTCATTCGTTATTCGAAACTTTTTATCTAGATAATGAATTTGCCCATCTCTGTCGCTGAATAACACTAGAACAACCAAGCAAGTCAAAATCACTTGCCAATACATTCTTACAACGATGATTAAAATGTTATAACAATCCATTTTCTCAGATCTTTTGTAACTTTTATTACGATACGACATTAAAGAAATTAGTTAATTTATAAAT